TGACCCTCGATCTTTCTCGTCCCGTCCTCTTAGTTAGCCGGGTAATCCCCTCCCTATTTAGGACGGGGTCCACGAGTATCGGGTTGAGCGAATTTTTTTATCATCCATATTTCTTACTCATGTAATCAAATTTTTTTTTGTCACCGCTCTATTGCAATATCATCCTCTATTACATTGACAATGTTACTGGAGAAATTTGTCTACAAAACATACAACATTGAGACCGTTTGTCTCAAGCCACAACCATAGCACCTTGATTGAGCTTTCACTGGCTATTACTAAAGGTACTTCCATACCCATCACCATCAAGTTTTCCTGCAAAAATCAAGTTTAACTGGATGTCTCTAATATACTTCACATATTTAAGAACCACCCTCGAACAATTATCCATCTCCAAATACACATCTTTAGTACTGATAACTTTAACTAAGCCATCATTATTTATCTTTACAGTTTCGTAATCACCATATCCATATGATGTAGAGAAATCCTTTCGCGATAGAGCTTGAATGGGGCACCACTATCAATCACCCAATTGGTATCATAACTTGCAAAATTGATCATCTCATCTTCATAAAAAATGAGAAAGTTAGCAAGAATGGTGGTAGCAACTTTATCATCACCATCTTTATCATTTTCGTAATTTGCTTCATTTTCTTTCCCTTTCTCATTCTTACATTCTTTTCTTCCATTGCGTACAATATTTTTTTAAGTATCACTTTTTCCCACAATGATAACACTCAACATTCGCAAACTTATTTCACTTGCCGCTGCTTTTGTCTCTATTCTTCAGACCTTTACTTTTACTTCTCCCACTCTTTTATGTAACCAAGACCTTTGATTTTGAAGAGCATCCTCGTGATTTTCTTTCCATCCCTTCATTTAACAAACTACTCTTAGCCATACCCATTGTGATGACACCATATGGAACAGAGTTAGATAATGAATTTCTGAGCATCTTCCATGAGTTCAATAGTGAACCAAGCAACCATAACTCCTGAATCTCATCAAGTTCATTCTTCATTAGACTTGTTCAATTTTTCAGTAGCAATCACCGGTAGGTAATAATCTTTCACATAAAGATCTCCATTTTTCCTTTCCATATGCGATAATTTAAATCATTCAAGTCAATCATTTTACTTAAATTTGCTTCCATAATGCAAAATCCAAATTTGGGAACTTGGCTCTAATACCGCTTGTTGGGAGAAATGTAAACAAATAGACACACGGTGGAATAATTATTTTCCCTAGAAGCAAATAAGTACAGCGTCATTTTAGATAATTGTGTGTGCTGAAATAATTTAAAGAAGATCAATCAAACCAAGTCACTAGTATACAAGCAATTATTTTAGGTGGAAAACTTCCTCAGAGTGAGGAATAAAAAGCACGGGACCAAATCTAATCAAAACTTCCACAAAAAACCAAATATATAATGGATATAAAAAGTCGTCTCTAGTCACAACTAGAGGTTACAACGTATATTTCTTTAAAATAATGAAAATCTTGACAATTTAATTTGAAATAGGAAGAATATACTCACAAACCTGTGGTTACTGTTCACACACACGAATCAATGTTCTCGAGCTCAAAATTTGATATCCACCATACAGATTGTAGTTTCTTGTCTTGTGAACCTCTCCCCTTAATATCAACTTGATCAGACAACGGAAAACTTGGGCAGGAGATTTGATGGAATTTGAGCACAGGAAAAATTTATTTTCTCTCCTATTGGAAAAATAGCTAGGGCTTTTTTCTCCCATCTTGTATTTAAATTTATCTTCAGTGTTAAAAACCCTGAAGGACTTTGGGCTACAATAAAAGAACCCAAACTTGGACTTTTCTCGACATAAAAGGAAATAACCCAACATTTATTTTTATTTTTTTCCTTGTAATTTTTAAGGTAGTGGACATAAAACTTCATGTCTGAGCTGAATTTTTAATAATATTATGCCAATTTAATTATTATTTTCTGAATCAAATGCCTAGAACATGAGAGAAAAACTGTAAAGAAATTAAATCGGACAGGAAGAATCCAAGATCTCGTGGTGATTGGGATCCCCCTTTCCTCAAGAATAATTAGAAATTTGTATATTATCCAAGAAAATTTGTTGTCATACAGAAAGATTCATCAGAAAATAAGACATAGGAATTTCAAAATTCAATAATCCCAAAGAATTAAACACACCATTTATGCAATGACATAGTCTTTTACACATGCAAGATAATCAACTAATTTGTATTTATTGCTGGAATGGAAAACCAGAGGTGGGAAAATAGACAGAACTGGGGTTACCTCCAAATGAAACCATGTTTGTCATCTCTGAGTTGATTCTATCATTATTCACATCCCAATTTCCAAGAAATCCTATGAAATTGTTGTTGGAATAATCAGGGATAGCCCAAGAATTTGTGCTTGAATTTCCCAGGAATTTCTCAATTATTCCCACATCAGATAATCGATTTTCCAGTGAGTTAGCATAAGCATCGTGCTTCTGATTATGAGAACTTGATTCTTCAACAGCTTCCAAAGAACTACTAAAGGACCTTAATTGTTGAAAATCATTAGGGTTTAAATCAAACGACCACTTATTCGAATTTTCAAGGCCTTTGATTATCATTTTATTTCTTGTTCTATCCCTTGCCCTTGCTCTTGCCTTGTCCCGGGACTCCCTCGAATAAGGTTTACACCCAGATTTTTGCGGTTTCTCGTCATTCTTCTTTCTTTCTGTACTTGCATATTTTCTTGCAGCTCCTTTGTGTGCACTGATTGAATTATCCTCTATTACTGATACAATGTCACATTCAGACACAAAGGATTCACTATTTAAATCGTCAAGGATCGAACTGGTCTTTTCTTTTGGTTTGTTTTTGCTCAGCTCCGTAATTGCATTCTTCGATTTAGTAAAAAGCCATTCTATTGTTTTGCTTGCTCTAGCGTAGCCTAGCAAGTCTTGAAGATCAAAGAATTTTCGCGCAACTTGAAGCGATAATCTAATTCTCCGGTCTCTCACTCCCTGTGCTGTACAAATCTTGCTGCGCCTATACTTCTTCCCGGTTCTTTTTAACAGTAATGGCCCAAGATTTTTCTTCGATGGTGTAATCGCCTCATTAGGAATTGACTCAGTTGACTTTTCATTCAATTTGGAGGGATCAATATTGCTGCCTTCTGTTGTTTCTTTTTTTGTCCTATCAAGATAGGTTTCTATCTGGTAATCATGAGCTATGCAATTATGCACAGTCATGGGATGATTTTGAAATAATATTTGATTCAAGGGAAATTCATTTTCATCCAGAAGTGGTGAAGGGAAGTGGAAGAAAAGTGAAGGATCGTCTTGTTTTGGGCTAGGTTTTTGATCAAATGGAAAAGACCTCTTGAACAAGGACTCAAGAGGGTTCTCAATGTTGCTTGAAGGATACATTTCTCTTGCACCAAATTTTGTCTCTAAACTTACTCTAGAGAGTTTATGTCATGATCTAACTTGAGAAGTTATGTACAGAAACTGAAGATGATATAGAGTGCAACTACAGAAAAAATGTAAGAGAAAGAGTGAGAGATTTTACCAGTTTGAGCTGGGGCTCCCCAACCCACCATCTGTGAAGATCTAAGAGGAATGGTGCAAAGGAGGACCATAAACAAGAAAGTGATGCTCATAATGCAATAGCTTCGCCTTTTGTCTTCATCAACTGTTTTGAAGGCTGGCAGAGACAGACTGAGAGAGGATAAGAAATACACAGACATACGTTGTTGAACTCATCACCAACCAAACATGCATTAAACAAGAAACTTTTTAGAAATTGACATTAGACATGAAACGCTACAGAAAACGTGCTATGGGTAATCAAAATAGAAGAGTCTGGGTACTCAAACTTTGGAAATTGGAGTACATAGGTCACAATTCAATGTTTTTATGAATAGGGGTCCCTAAACTTTCAATTTTATTTTTATTTTTTTGCCTTTATTCTTGTATTTTCCTAGGTGTGATGCTCTTGGGGCTAGGCATGGTGTGGGTGTTTTCTCTTTATTTTATTTTCCTTCTTTCTAAATGGTTTTCAAGAGAAATTCCCTTTAAATAAATGGTCATGTGCTAGATATGTGACTATTTACCCAAAAAAATAAAAAATGATTGTTTCCAATCAAGTGAGAACTTAAAGTGAACCGAAATTGAAAGTTTGTGACTATATTTCAAAAGTTTTGAGGACCCTGACAGTGGCTTTTACTTAATTACAAAATAGTCAATTTTCAGGCAAAGTGGGAATGACAAATATAGCTGTTACGTGTTCTACACAAGAGATAAAAAGTCAAATATAATAATTTGATGTGATGGATAACAATCACATTTTTTATTTTAATGTGTAAATAATGGGAAATAAATGGGCATAATAAGTAGTTAAATATTTAAATAGAATAAAACAGTTAAATCAATGTTTGCATTCAATTAATTCGACTACAACGTACAATAATTTCACTAAGTTTTTAAATGTTTGAACAAAATATTCTGGAGAGCTTCTCTGAAGTTTTTGTTCTCAATCAGAAAGCACGCAAAGTTTTTAAATGTTTAGAATTTGTGACGTTGATAAGCTCAAAAAATATGTGGTCATACACAATGACAGATAGTAAAAACCCTAATAGGCAGTTCAAAAATATCCAAAGCTGGAAAGGCAAGTATTTGTTGTAGTAAACATACTTTGACTGCCCGTCACTTTCACCACAAAAGCTGACACCCACAACTCTAACCCCACGACCACCAACCCACGGCTTTTCCTTTCGTTGGAAAGTTAGTGTCGTTTAATTGAAAGTTGGAATTGAAAACGAAATTTAGGTAATTGAATTGTGTAAAAATTATTTTGTTGTAAATTGTAAATTATTGTATTTGATTTGTATAATTTTTTACGTGAAAAATATTTAAATAAAAGTATTTTCTAGTGTTCGTTAGACTTTATTTTATATGAAAATTGTCAATTAAATGGATATAATTTACTGGTATTATGGATATAATTTGTTTTCATTGCCAAAAAAAATAAAAAAATTCAAGAAAATTATCTATCTTTTGGTGTTCGTTTGACTTTGTTTTACAAGGAAATTGCCAATTAAAGGAAAAAATTTACAATAACTCTTAGAATTTGTTTTAATTCCAAAAAAAAAAAAAAAAGCTGGAATTTGAAAAACCACCATATCTCATGGGAATTCATTTTCCCTAAAAAGCTGGAATTGGCACCCGTGTGAGCACTATTCATGGAAAACAATTGCCTGGAAAAAATGGTGTATCAAACACCCAAAAAAGTGGGAAATGGAAAAGGATTTCTATTTTCCATGGAATATATATTGTATCAAATGGTGCCTTAGAGATGAAAAAATAACTTTTTGGAGAAAATATGATAATACTTATAAAAAAAAAAAAAAAGTTGAACCCCAACTTTGAGGATCCTCACCGTACCGTCCTTGGAACATCATGAGGAAGATAAATCGCAGGATGTGTTTCAGCAGGTCAGGGAACAAAAACCTGCCCGTACACTGATACCCACAAAGAGTCCAATTCCATATCTCAGAAAACGAATCTTCACACTGCGGTTACCAGCAAAGTTGAAACTACCTCACTCATATCCTTTCCACCACTGGATTATGCCCTGGGGGACAATACTTAGAAAAGATGATAATACTTAGCACCTGTTTGCCCCCCTTTAATTTTTCTCATCAATTTAAATTAAATTTTTCTCTTTTTTCCACTTTTCAGTTTTCTCTTCGCCATCGGCCCTCCACCGAGCCATCCCTAAGCGGCTAAGCCCTTCGTATATAGGTCGATCCCTACTGCTACTCGACTAAGGACTATGGTGAAAATTTTCATTTTTGATCCCACAATTTGAAATGTCTACGTCCGCCCCTGCATATAGTAGTCAAAGGTAGATCCAAACGTTTTGTATCATGGGGACAAAAATTAAAATGCATTTTTTTTAAACAATATATCATTAACGAAAATAAGTCAATACATTAATACAATTACAACTTACGTATTTTCATACTCTGAAAATGTCGTATCATTACATCATTATCAATATTGTCGAGTACATCGTTCTCAATATATGCAATCAAACTATCACTTAAACATTGACCTCTCATTTGATTACGCAGCCGATTCTTAGCAATGTTCATTGCACAAAATATTCTCTCTATCGTAGCAGTAGTAATTGAAATAATTAACATCAATGTTATAAGCCTGTAAGCTAATTTGTATACCTCAATACCGAATAACAAAAAATTGTACATAACAATGACAATATAGAAGAAATCCACACGAAAAATGATTAGATTTTTATGAAAAAGTAACTTTATGTTATGTTTGACAAATTAAATTACTTTAAAGTAAGTTTGTCTTACTTTTAAACCAACTATATATTGAATAACAAAAATTCTACATATCTTTCTCTTCTTAAAAAAATTAGCCGTCTTAAATTCATTTGCCAATTTATCTTGATAACTATCTTACATCACGATTAATGCATTTTTCTGAAAACTTCATACATTTCATACGCTTAAAGCTTTGTGGTTTAGTAATAAAGTTAGGACATTAAGAAATTTTGTGTGGATATATCATAGTTAAGTAAGCACTACACAATTATTAAAAGATTATAAGAAAATCAATCGGTTAATTGCTTAAGCAATTCAATTATTTTTGGCATTTTATTCTGTTAGCTAAAAGCATTTGAAACTTTTACGAATCAAGTAATAAATTAGACCATGTTTGATCGGAATTAAAATCAGATTTTCAGTAAATTTTGTTAGGTTTTATGTTGTAATTGGCGATTCTGTTAACAAAAAGGACTAAATTGGACATGTATAAAAGTCAAGGAGTTGTGTGCGATTTTGTATAGATGAGTTATGTAAGTTAGGGTTCGAGTCTGGAACAAGGAAAGAAGAGATGCCGCATATTCGCTAGCTCTTCGCCTAGACACTGCTCGAGCGACAAAAACAGAATGGACGTCACTCACTTGTGGCTACCTCTTCGCTCGAGCAAAAGTCTATCTCCCACTTCTCGCTGGAGCGCCAATGTTACGTGACCAACCCAAATTCGCGATTTTGAAAAATTTTACATGGCCCAAAATACCTAAACATCCTTAACTATAAATACCCAAGCATTGCTCGATTTTCTAGGGTGGTTGTACATTGTGCCTCTCTTGCAAACATATTCATATCGTTCTTTTAGAGATCCAAGACCATATTCAAATATTGATTCAACCATTTGATTCTTGAGAGACTGCAACCACATATTTGGAAAAAAATACAATCCTTGAATTCAAAACACTTGACTTCCTTAATACTATAAGGAAGATACTCTCTAAGTTGGGCATTAGAAGAGGTGGATTGCAAGTACAGGAAAAGCAAAGAATTGTTTATTCTCGAAATTCCACTTGGAAGATACAATTGTATAAGATCGAAAAGTTGGAGAAGACAACAGTATCTTGGGGATTACATGATGTAGATCGAGAAGTCTAGTGGAGTTGGCTAGATAACATCTATGTAAAGATCGTTGTCTATATGGAGATAACTGGCTTAGTCCCAAAGTTTTTACCCAGTGGGGTTTCTCCATCATCATATTGGTGTTATTTACTATTTTCATACTACAAACTATGGCTATTCAACTTAGGATAATTGGACTGTTTGATTAACCATCTAAAAAATATTAAAAAGTGACTTGTTGCTTTTAATAGAATAATTTTGCACGTAAGGTCAACCTAAATCGAATAAGTAAACAAATTCTCAAGTGGTATCAGAGCCTAAATACGTGTCCTAACCTTATTTGTCTAGATGAGTAGTTCATTGTCCGTCACACCATATTTTGATTGTGGTAATTATGCATATTGGAAAGTTAGGATGAGAACTTTCCTTAAATCTATGGATGAACGAATTTGGTTGAGTGTAGTTAATGGTTGGACTGACCCTAGTGCTACGGTTGATAATGTAGTAACTTCCACTCCTATTGCTAATTGGACTAAACGAACTTAGATGAGTGCAATTGGAATAGTAAAACTCTACATGCTCTATTTATGGCAGTATCACCTAAATAGTTTAGGCGTGTGCCGATGTGTGGGGTTGTTAAAGATATTTGGGATATCTTAGAAACCACTTATGAGGAGAGTGTGAAGTTTATTGCCTTCAATGCTAGAATTAGGAGTGGATCCGATAAGGAGAGTGAGAAGGCTGGGGGAATAGATAGTGATGAGAAATTAGATTTTGAAAGATTTAAAAGATATACATGAGGCTTATGATAAAATTTATGAAAAGTGTATTAAGATTATGACTAAAAATAAAGCCTTGTGTGCTAAGGTCAAGGAACTTGAGCTTCAGAGAGACAAACATGTAGCTGACCTTCATGAATCTACCTCAACCCTGAGTGTATTGAAATCGGTTAAATCGATTAATTAATCTTTAGATACCTAGGTTAGGAATATCACTGGTGAGCTTCAAAAGTCTTCTAAAAAAGTAAGTGAGCTGACCGCTGAAAATGAGACTTCGAAAATCCAGGTTAAGAACCTCATGAGCGATCTAGAATATTCTAAGTCTCAACTACTTGACTTTTCAGTGGTTAGATAACATCCTAGGAATGAGCAAGTTGGCTGGTAATAGAGGAGGTCTAGATTTTAAAGAGAGTATTGCAAGTACTTCAAAGACCACTTTTATCTTCGCTACTGACCATCCTAAACATGTGCCT